ATGGCAGAAGGGGAAGCAAACATGTCCTTCTTCATGTGATGGCAAGAAGGAAAAGTGCAGAGTAAAGAGGGGGAAAAGCCCCTTATAAACCATCAGATCTCATGAGAACTGACTCACTATCACAAGAACAGCATGGAAGTAACCACCTCCATGATTCAAATACCTCCTACTGGTTTCCTCTCATGACATATGGGGATTATGGGAACTACAATTCAAGATGAGATTTGGGTGGAAACACAGCCAAACCATATCATTCAGAGAATACCAAAAAGCAATATTCAAGATGATTCAGGTAAAATTTTTCCAAAGTTTGAGGAATTTTTTTTTAATTTTTAAGTTTTGAGGGTCCATAGTGGTTGTCTGTATTTATGGGATATATGGGATGTTTTGACACAAATACACAATGTGTAAATCACATCAGTTTAAAATGGGGTATCCATCAACACAAGCATTCATCCTTTGTGTTACAAATAATCCAATTGTGTTTTTTATTTTAAAGCATACAATTATTATTGACTATAGTCACCCTGTTGTGCCATCAAGTAGTAGATCTTATTCTAACTGTATTTTTGTACCCAGTAACAATCTTTCCAGCTCCTCAGACCCCTGCTATACTTTCCAGCCTATGGTAACCATTCTACTATCTATCTTCATGAGTTCAATTGTTCTAATTTTTAGCTCCCACAAACAAGTGAGAAAGTTTGTCTTTCTATGCCTGGTTTATTTTACCTAACATAATGACATCCAGTTCCATCCATGTTGTTGCAAATGACAGGATCTCATTCTATTTTATGGCTGAACAGTACTCCATTGTGTGTATATGTACCACATTTTCTTGATCTATTCATCTATTGTTGAACACTTAAGTTACTTCCAAATCTTGGCTATTATGTACATAGGTGTACCTGAAAGGAAGGAATGGAATCCAGGAAACAACAGAAAAACGTTGGAAAATTCTTTAATTATTATCTTGTTAATAAAAGCTGAATTCCTTAAGAGATAAGATTGAAAACATATGTTCAGTGTCCAAAATTTAGAAAATACAAATAAGCAAAAGACACAATTTAAAAATCATCCTCTGGCCAGGCACAGAGGCTCATGCCTACAATCCCAGCTCTTTGGGAGGCAAAGGCAGAAGGATCACTTAAGCCCAGGAGTTCAAGACCTGCCTGGGCAACATAGTGGGACCCTATCTCTACACACACACATACACAAAAAATCATCTTCATTCCCAGTGAAACAGGAAAGTTCCCCGATTCCCCTCACAGGACGTGTGACAGGGATATGGCTACCCTGTTTGGTCACCTTGCAGCTCAAATCCCTAGAAGTAGCATACAGATAGGCAGGTACAGAGGCCAGGGCGAGTGCTTTGGGCTCTCGGCCTCTAGGGGTGGGTGTCTGTGACTCCCGAAACCCAAGTGGGCATGTGTTACAGTGTGCTCCTTTAGCTTTGTTCTCTGTGGGTGGCTTGCGTGTTAATCAGCTCAATGGACCCTCTGCCTTATTGCAAGGGCAGCGGGCCAGTGTGACAGCCTTCTGTATCCTGAGCTCTTGCCCGGTGTTCCAGAAGAATCAGATCATATACAGGCTCAAAGGAAGAGTGCAAGGTTTTATTGAGTGCTGGAGGTGGCTCTCAGCAACATGGAAGGGAGCTGGAAGTGGGGATGGAGTAGGAAGATGGTCTTCCCCTGGAGTCGGGCCACCCAAGAGCTGGACTCTTCTCTAACAGCCCCCAGCCAAACTCCGCTTGGCATCTAGACATCAATACTATTCTCTTTCTCTGCTACATTGTTCCACCATGGCTGGTCTGCTAGTCTATTGGTCTCGACATTCAGCTGCTTCTGTGTGTGCCTGCTAAGGTCTCAGGTTTATATGGGCACAGGATAGGCGGCATAGTGGGCCAGAGTGGTCTTGGAAAATGCAACATTTGTGCATGAAAATAGGAGTGTCTGTTCTCATTTAAGTTCATGGGCATAGGCCCAAGGGTGGAGCCCTTGCCAGGAACCCTGCCCTTCTCTACCCAGCATTTCCCTGCCTGCCTCCCATATCATGAGGATACAGAGATAGTTAATATTAGTAAAAGTAGCTCTGCTGTTATCCTCTGCATATTTTTATTAAAATTATCTTATGCAATTCAAATTACATGTATCTCTTTTTCTATTTCACACAAATGTCTTTCTGTGTTATTATTATTCTATTGTTTAAGAGCTGGATAAATTATTTAAATTACTTGATTTAATTAATTAAGAAATGAACTCTTCTTTTTTTTACCTTTTTGCCGCCCTTTCATTTGTTTTAGATAACCTGAACTTCCATTTGGGCAGGTCTTCTAAAAATCTACAAATAAATTGTCTTTTCCAAATCAGAATGTTTCCACCAATATTGCTAAGCATACCTAAAAATTATAACTCTGAAGTGCAAAAATGTTAAGGGCACTGAAAAAAAAAGTCCGTTTCATCGAGTTTTAGTTTTTAAAATAATGCAACTTGAGTATTTGATTTTGATTTCCATTATGAGCAATATTAGTAGAAGTGGATGAACACTTCAACTTGACTATGTAATTTATTTTTACAAAAATCTCTTTAGAGATCCCTGTCTAGTCAGCAAATAATTGCTTTAACTTGGATTTTAATATGAGCACTGAATGATTTATGTACATTAAATAATGTGATTCTCACTAACCATTTATGAGCTTAGAATGATTATCTCCCTTCCGTGCATAATCACACTTCAGGGAAGAGAGGTTAAGTGGTTTGCCTAAGATCACTCAGCCAGTCAACGGATTATCTCAAAACACGATCCTTAAGTCTTTAAATCATTAGACTCAGCAATACTTGAGAGGCATAAGGGATATGTTCTGAGGCATAAGGGATATGCTCTTAGGCTTTTCATCAAATGATTTATGTGTCATAATATCTCATTTGTTTATAGGGTTTTTTTGTTTCTTATGACACAATTTGGTCTATAAGCAAGCATGAGACATCATAAAAATGAACATAAGAATCAACATGTGGAAAAAATTCTGGGAGACTTAGCATATCAATTTCCAACATAGTTCATAAACCAGGGAGATAATATAAACCATCACCTGTGGAAGGGTCAGGGGGAGAAAAGAAGGAATAACAGAAAGCAAATAGAGTGAATAGCTTACTTTGGTGGAGCTTCAGTTCCAAGTTAGATTTCAACAAGCTCTGAATGAAAAAAGCAGAGATCTTGTGCATTCCCTGAGAGCAATTCTCTCCATCTCCAGTATAAAAGCCTCCATACGTATCAACCTGGCCATATCCACACTGATGGCAAATATGTTTCATATATTTTTACAGTACAAAATTCACACTAAGTGGGAAATTCTTAGAATTCAAGAATTTTTAACAGTGATCTCATCAGAATTAGAAATGACCTTGGTAAACTAAAGTGGAAGCCAAAAAGGTAGTGGAATGATTTATTGGAAGGATCATATCAGATTCTTATTACCTAGTAGGCGAGGAGAAGGAACCAGCCCACAGCTGTGCCTTTAAGAGGGGTAAGAGAAGGAGGAAACTTAGGGGGTTTTTTTGTTTTTTAATTTAATTAAGTCGACAAAGTTATTTTAAGAAAAAGTATTACTATTTAACCAATAGTTGTTTAATAAAATTGACTTTTTTTTTTTTTGAAAAATAAAATGACCGACTTCTCCAGGTCTGCCAGAAACTTCTCTGGTTTTAAAACTGAAAGTCCTGCAGGGCATGGTGGCTTACACCTGTAATCCCAGCACTTTGGGAGGCCGAGGCGGGTGGATCACGAGGTCAGGAGATCAAGACCATCCTAGCTCACACAGTGAAACACCGTCTCTACTAAAAATACAAAAATATTAGCCAGGCGTGATGGTGGGCACCTGTAGTCCCAGTTACTCTGGAGGCTGAGGCAGGACAATGGCGTGAACTCGGAGGCAGAGCTTGCAGTGAGCCGAGATTGCACCACGGCACTCCAGCCTGGGTGACAGACCTAGACTCTGTCTCAAAAAAAAAAGAAAAAACTGGAAGTCCCATGTCCTGGGAAATGCCTCAGGACCAGGCAAACAGGAAAGTCTGGTCAAAATAAAAAGTAAAAAAAAAGTGTGATCATTGTCCAAAATTTAAAAAATACAAATAAGCAAGAACGAGAAATGAAATCATCCACACTCTCAGTATGCGGAAACAGCCACTGTTAATATCAGTGAACATATCTGTATTATCTCTATGAAATAAACTTTATAACAATGCAAGTTACTATTGTTACAACAGGTGCCGGGGTAATATTGTTTGAATTTTTTTAAAAACTCTAAATAAACTGTTTAAAAAGTATGCCAAGTACCTGAGTATATGTACCTTTTCATATGATTGCATCATTCTATAAACTGTGATAAATTTTCAGTTGTGTATTGACCATTTCTGCTATTCATTCTATAAACTCCCTTAACCTTATACTTTTCTTTATCTCTAAGATACAGTACCAGCCGGTACATTAGCAGCATGCTTTCTGAGTTCTGATAACTGTATCACAGTGTAATCTCACTACTCAGGGATATGCAGCCTTTCATTTCTTATTCCATTTCAATTTCCCTGTAGGCCAGGGAGGGGAAATTTTTACCTAGGGAGTTTAGTATCATTTAACATTGATGTTACTTGTCCAACAATCTCCTACATGAGTAAGACCATATGTCAACCCCAGTTAGCACTTAAAATTTATCAATATCTACTTATACACATGAAGCTCTTTTTATTCTGTGGGAGGTTTAACTTTCTGAAAGCATTCCATGTCCAGTTTTAAAGTCAGTAGGAGAGAAGGAAAATAAAACGCAGTGTTAGAAAAGAAATACATCCTTTATCTACTTGAAAATGTCCACACTTGGTTGGGGCCATATTTCAGGATTGTTGTGATCCAGAAAGTACCTCTCTCAATGAAGAAGCACTTACTATCCACATGTGAAGTTACCCTTTTCTTGCCAATAACACATATCATAATGGCCTCTTCTGTTTTAGGTTTAGCCACACAATGCCTATTGGCAGCCCTGGAGTTGTTTGTATAATTGAAATGACTGCAGATGGAAAACCTCCAGTACAGAAGAAAGACACAGAGATTTCCCATGCCTCTCAGGTAGGTATGCAAATATCCAGTTCCAAACACTAACTGTGCCCTCAGTATTTCAGATAAGTATTTTTTACGTTACTAAGTAGTAATCCTATTTCTTAATTGAACAGATTCCTTGTAAAAACTCTCAACAAAGCACCAGAAAATTCAACTCATACTTTAGGGATGATTAAATATATTTAATGTTGCCTGTCACTATAAAAGTTTTATCAAATTTAACAATAAACTTATTTTCCTCTCACACTTTGGATTTAATATATTGTGCTTGATTTAAAAAAAAAAAAAAAAAAAGACAGCTCCAGAGTGGAGAAAGATTAGAAAATATGCCAATTTTTTAAAACTTGTGTTTTTATAACCTATGATAGTACTTACACTATTTAAAAAGGCCGTTCCCAGTCTTACAGATTTTGATTGGCCAGAAAATTTCTCTTAGAAACATTGAATGAGTCTAAATTAAAAGAAGAGAGAATGTCTGTCCCTCCAGAGACCAGGCAATTTGCTGAATTCTTTCAGTTTTAATGATGTGGTTGGTTACATTCTTCTTAGTGTAACTTTATCGCAATACATTTATGGTAAAAATTCCTAGTTCGTTTGATCATCATGGAGAATTAATCTGTATAATTAGAGCTCTAATTTTGGTAGACATTAAAGCTGCCACTATGCACTGCCTTAATGATTGGAAATTTCATTTTATTTTCATTTCTTCTATATAGTCTCTTGAATATATGTAGGCATCCAAAATAAACACATAATCACATCTAACATTTGTATAAGCACATTATATTTTCCAAACTATGGCCTTAAATATTATCTCATTTAATATCTGCAAGAACGCTGAAAAGGTAGAATGATTCTCTCTTTTCTACAGCTGGGGGACACTGAGTATCTTTTCTGACCAGAATTGTATAGTGATAAGAAAGGAGACTCTACCTCAGGCTCTGTTTCCCAGCGCTTTTGTGTTCCTTTATAAGGCACTGTACTGCTCTTCATTTGCTACTGCAGCTGACTCAAAATTGTTCAAGTGGGTTGTTAGGGTAGGAATAAAATTGTTTTTAGGTTTTAAAAAGTCATTCTAGATCCCGAGAGGGCCACACATTTAGATGTAAGACATGGAATATTCAAGCAGTGGAAAATATATGAGTCACTCGTAGTGAAAAATGGAAAGCATTCAATATGACTACATCTTTATTCACTCCTTATAGTTGCCCATTTTTAATATTGAAAGATCTGTATTTTCTTATGAATAGTATAAAATATGCTACTAACTTCTACATTAATGAATCACATATTTAACAAATAGAATCCAGTAAATGCTCAATAAATATCTTTTTGTTAATACGGGAGAAAAAAAAAACAAAAAAAAACTAGCCGGGCGAGGTGGCGGGTGCCTGTAGTCCCAGTTACTCAGGAGGCTGAGGCAGGGGAATGGCGTAAACCCGGGAGGCGGAGCTTGCAGTGAGCCGAGATCCGGCCACTGCACTCCAGCCTGGGCGACAGAGCGAGACTCCGTCTCAAAAAATAAAATAAAATTATATATATATGTGTGTGTGTGTGTGTGTGTGTGTCCTTTTGTTGTTGAAAATGTTAAATAGGACATATTTATAGCCTCTTTAACAAATCAGTTACCTTGCCCTTTAGGCTGTGACCAAATGAAATACCGATGAGAATGCTACGAGTAATGCGCATGCACACGCACAGATTAACACAGGGGAGTAGAATTTACTATATCAATGGAAAATAATCCGGATAATTTTAGGGTGGTAAAGAGAGAATGCATGTAGGCACTCTAAAGCCTCAATGGCTGTTCCCTGCTGCCACTACAGGAGCTGTCACATGCTTTTATAGCTCTCTGCCTCCTTAAGTTTAGCCCAACTCAAGTGCTCCTAAGTCTGAGTGAATCACTGCTGCCTTCTAACTTGTGTTAACCCCAAAGCTCAATTTGGTCACTCTTATGGAGGCTATATGTGGTGAGATTCTCTCAGATAGACTTCAGTCCTAGAGTTATGGTATAGTACAGCCTCTAAGGGCCAACCTCTATGGCACAGGCCCTTTCTCTCCAAGTTCTGGCAGGATCCTGTCTGAGAAAGAACACCTAAAGGTGGCTTCCAACTGTGAGTTATACCTTTTCTACTGCCTTTTCCTCTATTATTACAGTGGGAGAATGATGGAGGTTTGTGGAATAAAGATACAAGAACTGAAAATTTTGCGAGCTGAAGCTATTTAATTTTAAGAGTCATGGACTTTGGCACAAAATATCAAAATAGGTTCCAGCACTGCCTCTACTCATTATAATTTAGTAGGGATTGTTAAGTATATTCAAAGAATCATTATGTACAAGATAGCATTTTTCAGTACATAAACCCAAAACAAAGCCAGATTGACACCGAAGGGTCTGAAATCTGAAATGTGATATTCTAGATTGGATAAGAAAAAACACCTATAATAATTTGGAGGGTTTTTTGGTAAATTTGAAAGTAAAAAGTAAAAATTTATTCTTAATTCTGATAATGATAGCGAAAATATATAATACTATGTTCCAGACACTGTTCTAAGCACTGTTCATATTTTAAATTATTTAATTATTTAAATTTTATAAAAAAATACGAAGTAAACACTATTATTATCTCCAAATACAGAGAAGGAAAATACAGCGCAAAAGGTCTGAGTTTCCTGCCCAAAATCACACCGCTATTTGGGGATTCAAACCCAAACATTCTCACTAGATAGTCCATGCTTTTAACCAAAACTATGTGGTCTCACAACATTTTATATGACATTTACTTTTTTTTTATTTCTAATGTGATTTATTGTTTTGTTTTGTTTTTAAGTTCTGGGATACACATGCTGAGTGTGACATACGATGTTTTCCTTTATTCTATTGCAACTATTACTAAGCAACAAAATTTTATGTGTACAGGTACATTACTGTTAATTACATATTGACAGTATGCATTATTATAGAACAGTTCTCTAGAACTTTTTCATCTTATCTGAAACTTTATACTCATTGAAGAGCAACTTTTCATTTCTCTCTCCCTGCAGCCTCTGACTACTTTCTGCTTCTATGAGTTTACTTTCTATACCTTATTTAAGTGGAATCATGCAGAATTTGTACTCTGTGGCTGGCTTATTTCATTTATCATAAAGTCCTCAAGGTTTATCTATGTTGTACCATATGACAAGATTTCCTTCTTTTGTAAAATTGAATATTCCATAATATCTACATATATATGTCATTTTCCTTTATTGTATTTTTAATTGACAGATAATAGTATATATTTATCAGGTACAATGTAGTGTTTTGATACATGTATACATTGTGGAATGATCAAATTAGGCAAATTAGCACATCTATTACCTCAAATATTTATCATTTCTTTGTGGTAAGAGATTGAAAATCCTCTCATTTAGTTGTTTTTAAAAATGTTATTATTAACTATAGTCACCATGCTATACAATAGATCACCAGAATTTATTCCTCTTATCAAATTGGAAGTTTGTACCCTTTGACCATTGTTTTTCTTTTTTCTGTCTATCCCCATTCCTGACCAGTCTCTGGCAATCACCATTGTACTTTCTATTTCTATGAATTCAACATTTTTAGATTCTACATATAAGTGAGCTCATACTATACCATATTTTCTTTATTCATTTATCAATTAAAGGACATTTATGTTGTTTCTATCTATTGAATGATGTGAATAATGCAAATAATGCTACAATGAAAATCCAAGTGCAAATAATCTTTTCAATATCCTATTTCCGATTCTTTTAGATAAATACTGAGAAGTGGTATTGCTAGATCAGATGGTAGTTCTATTTTTAATTTTTTGAGAAACCCCCATACTATTTTCTATAGTGGCTGTATCATCTTACATCCTGACCAACAGTGCTCATAAATTTCCATTTCTCCACATCCTCACCAAGACTTGTTATTTTCTGGTTTGGGTAATAGCCATCCTAACAAGTATAATGTGATATCTCATTGTGGTTTTATTTGCATTTCCCTGATGGTGAGCATCTTTTCATATACCTGTTGGCCATTTGTATGTCTTATTTGGAAAAATGTCTATTCAAGTCTTTTGCCTATTTTTTAATCAGGTTGTATTGGGGTTTTGTTTGTCTGTTTTGTGTGTTTGTTCATTGCTATTGAGTTATAGAAATTCCTTGTATGTTTTGGATATTAACTCCTTACCAAACATATGGTTTGTAAATATTTTCTCCCATTCTGTAGTTTTCCTTTTCACTCTGTTCATTGTTTGATGTGCTGCACAGAGGCTTTTTAGTTTGACATAGTCCCACTTGTCTATTTTTGCTTTTGTTGTGTGTGCTTTTGGTGTCATATCCAAGAAATCATTGTCAAAACTAATGAAGTATTTTCCCCATGTTTTCCTCTAGGGGTTTTATGGTTTGGGTGTTAAGTCTTTAATCAACTTTGAGTAGATTTTTATGTATAGTGTAAGATAAAGATCCAATTTTATTTTTTCAGTTTTCTAAATCCTTGCTTTTTAAATTATACCATTACTTTCTCATACAATAAAGAGATTTCAGAAAAAACAAAGGAAAATATATTATTGATTGTCTTACTGATTCAGTGAAAACATTATCGTAGAGCTGAACAAATTGATTCCTGATGATGAGTAGGGGGTTACCTTCTTGAAATTAGTTTCCTGTGTGGAAAATATTGTGGAAAGTGGTCTAGAATCTTCCTTAGAATGTGAACTTGTCTTCATTCTTTTGTTATTATAGTCAATATAATGGTCAGTAGAATGTTTGCAATCCAAGATGTTGCTGAAACTCTCCTGTCAGGAACTACCTTAGTGAAAACTAAAGGAATTCAAGGCCTTTCAGGGTCTCTCAGTTACTAGTGGAAGATAATTTACTTGTGACTAACAGGGAATTCCTGGGGCATTCTTAAAATAATGAGAATCCTTGGGAACATGCACTATTTCCTATTCCCATTAGAGTAATTGTTGTATAAGCAGATTTAACATATTTATCTGTTC